TATTGTAGAGGCATTAGGTTATTTTGAAGCAGAAGACGTGAAAGATGTGCATTGCCTTCTCCAGGACTCGAGCCCTGGACTTTTCGAATACGCATCGAGTATGCTTCCAGTTGCACTACGATGGTATGTGTAATTGGAAAGGAGGGAGAAAATACCTTATAACACATTCACGGAAAAGGCAGAGTACGCCGCTCAGCTGTGATAAGCTGAGAAACCCAGAGCAGTGTATGCCGTCAGGTGATATGTATAAACTCTAGGAGAGAAAATTAATTTCCGAACAGAAACTGTAACATATTGTGGAATATCTCTGCTTGATTATATTATCCATAATAATATAAGTGTGTGTTAATAAATAATGCAGCATTCTGTTTAGTTACTTTTTGGAGGAAATTCATGATTATAAATTAGAGCACTTCTGCATACTTCCATGTGCCCATGAAGTCCTTGCCGTAGCTTTATTTTCGAAACTGTAGGCCATAATACAAATGCTTAAACGGCGCAAATTTTTCATATTTTGGCATTTTGGGAAACGAAAAAAAGAAGTTTTTTTATTCTTAAATTACAAAATTACATTTTCTACTTTCCTCCTATTCTCTGTCATATTTAGAAAGAAAAAACGTTTGCTCATTATGAAAAGCCCGATATAAAAAGTGTCACTAATGCACGACGAAAATTTACCGAGATATTTAGATTTAACGTTGGATATCATTTTCAGGGGTAGTAAACAATCTGATCTTCAAATAAGAGATATTATTCGCACAATCTTACAGAATTTTTGATCTAGAAACAATGCCAAGCTTCAGTACTGTCATACTAGCAAATCTTAATCTTATTTGTATAAATTAAAAAAATATATTTCTGGTGTAATTAAGTTTTTGCACGATTTTCAGATTAAGGTTCTAAACAGATAAAGTTGTATGAAAATATTAATAATGTATTTCTAAGATTTCAAAAATGATAAATTATTTGTGTACAAATTCTTTGGACACTCTAATTGTAACAAAATTATAACGTAAAGAATTATACACAGACAAATCACAAACGAATATCATTGAATGGTATTTGAGGAAGAAATCAAGCTCCAAGTCGTCTAATTTATTTACTAACCGATTTCTCAAGGCAAGTTGAAATGATGTCAAAATCGAAAATTAAAAGCTGGATGAAGACATTTATGAACACGATGTTTCACTCCGCGTCTTCAAACGTCATTATTATCGCAACCGTAGACATATATTTCCAATTACAAAAGTGTTTTAGATGACGCAAATATTCCTGTTCTGGAATTTAAAATAATGATTATATTAAAACCAGTATTCAGAAATTTCGAAAGACATCAAATTTTTTATGTGGTTAGGTATATTTATAAAACTTTTATACTCATTATTAAAAATAAAGAACAAAAAGTTTGACTCTTGTATGTATTGATAAAAATGCACCGAAATATTTAATTTCAAATTTTGAGACATTTGACGACATTTTCTATGTGCTTTAAGACGTCGGTCAGTAAATCAAATATAATAATACGAGGTTAGGTTTTTCTTCTTAGCCCTTTCTGGAACGCTACCTTTTAAAGTCGGAATTTTGATTAAAAAAAAAAAAAAGTAGGCAGTCTAATTAGGCCTAGAGGAGTACACAAGTAAAATTTTGTGAAGATAGCACTTATCGTTTTAATTCTGTGGGTGTGCTCAAAGTGGCACACTGATTGAATAGAGCTTCGAAAAGAGTGCTGAAACGAGCATTGTTGTCAATGAACTGAGCGATGAGATGCGGAGAAACAAAGAATGCAGACTCTTAGTTGTCCTAGATTATAGGTAAGCCCGGTCTGGGCACACCTAGGGTTCGTCGTTTGATTTTAGGCAAAATTTCAAGGTAAAAATTTAAAACTAATATAGAATAAGGGGTTAGCATACAGCCAAAAAAAATACGAATTTCTTTTCAAACAATTCCTTTTATACCCTAAAAACATCTGGAAGATTTGAAAAATGAGGGTTTTAAAAAACTATACATGGCTAAAATATATGGACTGGTTTTGTGTTGAGCTGCCATCTACTATAAATAAAGAAGGTTCAGAGTAACCTATGGTAACCTATAAATCCTTTTTCATTCAATTTTTTCTGTGCGTACAGAAGGAAATTTTTAGATGTGTCCAGACCGGACACACTGTGCCGCAAAGGGTTAATTGCCACTCAACAATATTCACTTTATTAGTTTGTAACATTTTTGAATTTTTGCAGCAAATTTTATGTCGAAAGAACTTTCTAATAAATTACTTATCGGTTTTCAAACTCCGTAAATACATTATTAGCGTTCTCATTAAGTTTCATTACTTTAGAATTTTGATGTAGTAAGCACACGAAAAATTCATAAACTAGAAGTAGCATTTAATATTGCGAATTGGCTATGTACCAATACTGAAACTTTCCAATGTTTCCTAGAACACTAATTTTATAAGATTCTGTGGAAAAGATCTCCTTTTGAAATACAAAAAAAAAAAAAAAAAAATATTGAGCAGTATTTTTCATGCCAAACAATTTGCGTAGGAATGCTCTTCACTTAATTTGTTAGCATGAGAAACTAACAATTAGCCCAAAAGGGACGTTAGTCCCAAATGGGACATTATTCTAGAAAGGGCATTTTGCATTGAATCACTTTTCAAACTGTTGCTACCCAATAGTATCTCCGTGCGTTATATTTAAAGAAATTTAAGAATGAAGAATCTGTATGAATGCATTAATGTTTCTCGCACTGAAAAAGCTACGGCAACTATAACTATCAAATTTTGAATAACGTAGTCCTCCACCCAAACACGGGTGCCTGCAAGCCCGTACTTTGAATTTCAAATTTGTTTTATTATCTTCTTCATATTTGTAAAACTTTAACGAATTTTCGATTTACAAACTCAGCGATTTCAAAGACAGCAGTGGCAACAACGTAAGGAAGAAAACACTTTTATATCCATCGCGCGAGACTGTCTATCGGAAATTCTAAAGACATGTTGGTTTTAAATATTTTGTGATTTTTCTGTTGAATCGAATATCGTGTGGTGTAAACGTCAAGAATGTGATATTTAATAGACGAAGTATGCACACAAAACGTTAATATTAAAAAAACAAAGTTTTGTAAAGCCATTTTAGTAAGAAACCTGAACATTGATATGATGAGCTGAGAAAAGACTGAGAAAAACAGAAAAATATATGCGAGCGTTTAACGCTGCATCTAGAATAAAAAAATATGGATTAAGCTGGAGTGAGTGAGACAGCAGATGTAGAATGCGAGCTCAGCGAGAGCGTAAAAACGCTTAATAAACTCATTGGGCGATTGTTAAAATTTGAAACCTTTCAGATTTGTTTAACAAATTTAAATTCATTTTATTTTTAGATAAGTACAAATGGAAATCCTTCGCTCTTCAATTTGTGTATGTCCCTTACGTATTCAACTTCACAATGAAAAGGCAAAACAAAACTTTTGTGGGCACTGGTAGTACTAGTGCCCACAAAAGTACTTACCACTGGTGCACTAGTGGTAAGTACTCGTACTTATACTCTATTAGTAAATAAATAAATACACAAGAAGTTTGTAGTACTAAGTAATTTTAATTTTGAATGTTTTATGTAGCCCCTGATGTTTTGTTTTTAACTAAATGCTGCACCTCCTCGGAAAAAACCCTGGAATTTTAGTTTCTACTTAAACATTTAACAGTAACTTAATAAAATACTTATGTAAAACTTGTACAAGTAAACCATTCTTATATAACCATTCCATGCATACCGGCAACCTTCACTACATTTTTAAATAGGGCCAAAATAATATAATGGTGATATGTTTATAAGATCTTCCATAAAAGTTTAAGTGTCCGCGATGCACCTGCATTTATAGAAAAGGATATTTTTATAGAAAATGTAAAATGAATGTTGTTATCTAATATTTTTTCTTTTTCATTTATAATTATTAGAAAAATTCAGCTTAAAAATTTATTTCTTCGTCGCTCTATAAGTATAAACAAAGTAATATTCAATTAAAATTTTAAGTAATGTTTTAATGTAAATGTCTTTACAGTTTTTTCTGGTAGTAATATTTGTACGTTTTCAAAAACGACGAGGAGCAATATATTGAATTTTACATTAATAGCAATTTCAAAAGTATGCTTGCTTTAATTCTTGGATTTAATTTTTTCTTGGATTTTAATTTTTTGACAGTGTGAAAGATACAGGTTTTTCTAAAATGAATACGTATGATAGTAATATTAAAAAGTAATATATTTAAATACATATTTTCCTAAACTAATGGGCATCAGCACAGTTTCACATCTTAAAAATACGTTTCCGTTTATTTGTCATCTAACATAATCATCTAAACATGATTTGATTCTGAAGCACTGTGCTTTGGAGTCAAATTATGTTAAATAATTCGAAGACAGTCTTTCAAAAAATTTAACTGAAATAAATTTAATGTATTAAACCTGAACACATAGACAATGATATTAATAGAGTTAATAGAGTGATTTTGGCAGTTCCCTCAAATGAATTACTACCATTTTTCTTTTTAACTTGAATTCAGTTTTGGCTATTTAACGCTTGAAAGAGAAGTAACAGCTGAGACATATCATTTATTCAAATAAAATTACAGCTGTATTTGAAATAATCCTCTCACAACATGCAGTACTAAAATGACAACTTTGTCCCAGTTCTCAACAGGACAAATTTAACAAAAGAGACATTGAAGAAATCAAAGAAACAGACTTTTCTTCAACATCACCATCCCACCTAACTCTAAATAAAGCTCAAGAGATAGCAGTAGTAGTTGAATATCCCCCCCCCACATAACATGGTGTAGCCTCCCTTTATCCGACGAACTTTTTTGAAGCTACAGAAATAAAATAGACCTCTAGGTTCGAATGGCAACCTCGTGTTTTTCGCAGATTCTCTCCCTAGCGTTCTAAGCCAAGTTAAGGCACATTCTCTCCCCAATATCGGGTTCTAAAAATGTTCCGGAGGTAGAAATTTTTCGCTTTCCTGGCAAACGTCCCACACCAGCTAGAGTTCTTTGGGAAGCGGTGCACGAGGCTTCTGCCCTGTTCTTCTTTCTTCTCTTTGCTGGATCCGGAAGGCGCTGGGATTTTCTTGAAGTAAGGTGCCCTCTTAAAACGAGTCCAGGATTATTACTTTGTGCCACTTTATTCGAAGGCAGCCGATTAGAACCAGTGAGTACAGATTTAAAATTCCACCATTTGGATTATTAGGTGATTTTATTATTTTTACGCGAGAAATGTAAATTTTATTATACATAAATATTATGAAACTGTGATTCACTTCAGTATTCGCATCAATCAAGATTAAAATAATTGTGTTGAAAGCTGAAATAATCTTTGGATATTTTCTCTCAATCTTATTTACCGCTACTGATATCAAAAGAATTTAGTGATTGTTTTAATTGTATGTCAGTTGTGTTATGATCTGTTGCTCCTCGCAGAACATAATGCCATGATGGACAAAATTCATTTTCGAATAATTATGATTTCGATATATCAGAATTTATGGATATTTCTCTACTACAGTGTTCAATCTAAAATTTGCAATCTAATAATGTTTTCTAAAATCTTCTATAATTAAAAAAAAATGATTTCGGTTTTACTAAGGATCTTCTCCGACATCGTGTATTACAATCTTAATAACATTTTATTGGTTTTCTTTAAATTACTTAATAGAAATAACGGAGAACAGCGTGTGCCGTAACAAAGAATTTTTTTTAGATGCAAACTTAAACATTCTGTGTCAACTACTGTAAAATGAAAGTGAATTCTATTAAATTCAAGTTGAAAGTGTCATAATAAATTTATCTCTAATTTATTATCAGTGATATTAATACAAGGATAAATGAATAAATATGTTGATTCAAATGCTGAACTACATTACTAATACATGATGTTTAAAAAAAATAAAAAATAAAAAATAAACACTATCTTTTTATCCTTTCCTATAATAAAGAAAGTTCTTGTTGCTAACTGATGACTGTTCAGTCAAAAGAAAGACTGCTGGTTTCTATAGTTAAGAACTGAGTGCAAAAGGGTCGTTCATGTAATATCTTGCTTAAAAGAACAGAATCAACATTTTATTTGCAAAGAAACGTTTATAGAAACGGAATGCTGCAAAAATACAGACACTATTTGAAAATTTCGTGGCAAAAAAATCAAGAATTGAGCTAAAAATGTAAATTAGAATAAAGGTGAATACTGCTGTATTTGTGTAAGGTATCGTAATTTTTAGCAAAAGGTTTTTAAGGAGGTACGCAATACGCTACGCAGCAGATATCAAAACCATGCTTTGATAGTTAAAAAACGTGCTGTTTCGGTGCAGGAAATTGCTTTCGTTGACCCCATTAGGTTCACCTAAAGATTCAGAGATACAAATTGCAAAGTATAATATGTAATTGCAAACCCGGTCGAACCTGACGGAAAGCGTATTTATTACTGTCTTCATTAACATTTTTATTGCTATTTAACAAATATTTACTGTTATTGGAAGTATTCCAAAAAGTACCTTTCATTAACTTTTTATTTTTCTTCCGTTGAATTATATCTTAACTGAGAATAAAATCACTTATTTAGTCAGACGTTGATCTATTAAGGGCATAAAATTATTATGTTAACAAATGTTTGCTACTGTATCTAAATTATCGTTTTATGAACGCATCAAATTTCAGATTTTTTCAAATTCTTCTTCATAGTTCATTAATTATGTATGCATTTTACCAGTATAATTTCTTTGTAGTTTTTATTTGGGCTTTTTTGTTCTGTTAGAATAATAAAACAGAATACATTTATAAATTTTTATCAAGCACTTACCTACATGTTGTTAGTACGTATATTTAAGGACGTCGAATAGGATAATTAATTAAGCATTTTAAAACGCTTTGCTTTTATTTTAGTATGTCTCCTTTAATAATTTAATGATTATTTCATTATATTTTTTTGATTAAGAAATTGTTTAATATTTTTTATTAATTTAATGAATGATTAGGCTCTATTTCATATAACTCTAATGCTAGATTTCCGAGGTATGCATACGTAAATTTCTTTTGCGGTTTCATTGAAATGTGATTTTTGGAGTGCTTTATTTTAACTCTTAAAACGTATGATTCTTTTTGTATCAATATTTTGTATCTTTTATATATGTGTTTTGAAAGAGCAAAAAATATGTTTAGTGACATATAGAAACTTAGAATTTTCGTAGTTCTTCAAATAATCACTTAACAATTAATGAAAATATGTAAATCCACATTACCATCTCTGTACACGATTATGTATGCATTATGTATGCATGGAAATCCTGTATAATTAGTTCAGTTTACTGTTCAGTTAATTAATATAAACAGAGAGTTCATAAGTTCTTATACAGCACAAAACTCACCATGGTCGAGTGGTTAAGACCGCTGAATGCTGGGAGTTCGCCACTTCGATCCAGGCGAACGAGCTACCTGGATGGCTGGTTTTCGTGGATATTCTTATTGTAATGTGGATATAAGTTATTTAGCTAAAGTCTTCCAGTCAGATACATTTTCCCTTAGCCCACCAGCGGCCGAGCGGTAAAGTCGCTGAACACTGGTAGTTCGGTCCGAGGTTCGAATCCCGCGAACGGGCTGGCTGCATGGGCGTTTTCGTGGTTTTCCCCATGTGTAACGTGTATACGAGCCAGTTTCCCTTAGAAAGTCCTCCACGAAAGGCATCCCTCCCCTTAGGCAGATAGCCCTCGTGTGCTTTGCCATAATTAAATACACCAACACCATTTTCCCTTAAACAGATAACCTAGTTGATTTTGTCGTTTTCAAGTAATCTAACCTTGGCACCATCTTTATTTTTGCAACCGTAAGTTCTACACATATACTTCATACATAATTTCAAAATTTGGGACTTTTTTAGCCTTCATGGCCACAGCCATCTTTTATGGCTTTCCTTGCGGGGTCGGTATAAAAATAAATTAGGATATTTCTTTTTCTTTAATATCATCATGATACTTCTTTTTTGATTTGCTAGTGAGCAACATTCTTTAATTTTGTTACATTTTTGAGTGCAGAAAAAGTTTTCCAAAAATCATTCAGATGTTAATAATGCTAAAATATATTCATAAGCAGTTTTAGCATCATAAACAAACAAAATTATGTACCATTTTCATTTACGTATAGATTTAAATATTTCACTCTTTAATTTGCGTGCGACTCCTGATTTTCCAGGAAACGTGATCCCCAATTTTAAAATTAATTAACTTGGACAATTTGTACCATATGTGAATCAAATACTTCGTGTTTTATTTTTTAGAAGGAATATAAAAGCTTATTAATTATAACCTATTGGAACTGATGAATCATATGACAAATAGATGCAATTTTTTCGAAATTGATTTTTAAATTTAAGAAATGGCATAACCTAAATTGTAACCATAAATTTTTTCTTAAAGCATTTTTATAAACGGAAGTATATGTTTATGATCAGCGGTAGTAAAAATAAAGACTCTGCAAATACGTTTTGCATTTGCTTATAATTAGGCTTTTCTTACGCCAAGCCTTTTTCTGTTTGAAGGGGTATATATAAAATAAAAAAATATATAAATCAAAATAATAACTAAAATTAGTAACAGTCCCTTAATTCTTCATTTTAATCTAAGTATTTCCTCTCTCTTTTCTAAAAACATTAATAGCTTTTTCTGGACTGCGTCATTCCTAGATTAATCCTATTATATGACTTTAACATAACGATGATGATGTAGCTGATAAGGAACTTAAACGAAAACCCTTGTCTTAATAAGCTTGGACAACTACGCGCTTCCTTTCTACACCTTAGCCTAGATAGGCTAGTGCCTACTGCTTCTGCACGATTAGAGTGTCAAGCGAACTGTGGCCACAAATATCAACTGAAATAAAAGTCAAAATTTAATCTGCATCGACTGCCAAGTTTGCTCTTCGTTATGTATCTCAGCATCTGGGCTATCAATTCTATGCTGTGGATATTTCAATAAATATTATATTCAGAATGTAATAATGCAGAAATATTGACTGCACGAATGTTGGTCCACTAAGAACAGCAACTTAATTGACAAGGCAGATTAAATATTAATTTTTATTTCAATTGACATTTTTTTTCAATTGACAATCAAATTTTATTTCAATTGACACAGCACCACAATTGATTTGCCACGCTAGTTGTGCTCGATTCAAAATGTTTCCATTTTTGATAGCTTTGCAGTAAGGAAGAAGCAGCAAACAGGAGTCTTACCTTCGCTGAGGATCAGAAGCATAGTTATCCTTTGGTTTAAATTCCGAATTAGCTACGTTAAAACGTCATTATGTAAAAGTCTTATGATACGGATTAGTCTAGGAATGATGCAGTCCAGAAAAGGATTAGGATAGAGAGGAGAAACATAAAAATTAAAGAGCTATTGCTAATTTAAGTTATAATTTTGATTTTGTCTTACACACACACACGCATATATTGATATATATATTTCAAACATAAAAGTAGAGAAACTATTTTCTACTTATTCGAGGTACTAAGGTAACAAAGATTTTCTGCGTGTTTAAAATATCTATATAAACAGAAATTTCGGACATTTTGGTTGAATTATTTTGAATGAATGTTATATAAAACTAAAAATTAGAAGAGTTCCAATGAGAAAAGTGTTTAGTTTGATTATGCTTTATTCCTACTATTTTTTTCTGTTGCAGGTGTAAATAATTATTCATAAAATTTCCACATGGCCGATGACGACAGAGAATACAGGTAAAATTTTCATTTCATTTTTCCTTAAAATTAAGTAGCGTAATTATTTTAACACATCTGTTATAAAATTTAATCTTTTGATATTAACTGTTTAATAACAGTTAAACCTCTTTCAATTATTTCTTGTGCTTAAAGACTTTACAATCTATTATGCTAAAGCACATCGTTTAAGCTATAAATTCTTTCATAAATTATTTGTATTGCTGTGCACTTTGATTAAAATTTAAAATTTTTTTAAATAATAATATGTACAGAAGATCTACTAATTTTCGATTTTTCTCTACAGGAAGAACTACCCTATAGTTTATGTAGCACTATTTTTATTTAACGTGAAAAACATTTATTACTGCTGCTATATAATAAGATTATCTTAATGTAACAACAAAACTTTTTGGCTGAAGCTGTTTTTTATCCTCAAAGTTTTCCATGTTATTCTACTACCAAATGTGCTTAAAGGATTTTGTAATGCATCATATATACCTGCTAATAAGCGTACAGATATTTATATAATTTTATACTTATTACTTAAAATGTTTGTTATAAATGTTTTTTGATATTAAATTAAGAAAGTTTACTTATAATGCTATATGCTTTAGAGTTAAGTAAAAAATATTATGACTAGAACAATTATTCATTCTCCAGTATAATTCAAAAGAATGAGCTTTAACTGCTGTAATTTTTCTTTTTATCTTCTTTCTCTTCAGTAATTTTCCAGAAGCAGGAATTCTTGAAACTGTTATATTCTTGTGCTTTATACTTGCTTCAGTTTCATATGTAGCATAATAATTGTAGCAGTAACCTCTTAGCAGCGTTAGTTGTATATGTAGATATAGTAAAATACTCTCGCTTTTGTTATCCTGTGTTTGAAACCTTGGTCATCAATGACATGTAGAACATATAGAAAAAAATCTAATTTAAGGCACATATTATCTGACAAAGAGGAATTGGAATATAATTTTGGCTTAGAATCTTGAATGCCAATCGCATTGCTCTTTCAGGGCCATTAAATACTGAATTATAAAGTTTCTACTATGTTTAATCGAATAATTGTATTTCACTGATTTCTACCTATAAGACAAAGTTAGATTTTAGTTTACATGGAAAACATTTACATATTAATTCCAGCGAATTTCTTTGTACCCTCAAACAGACGCTAAATACTGTTTTTTCTAACAAGAGAATAAAATCGGCAGAAAGTATGTTTCAGTTCGATATTAAAATATCTTGCATACTGCAAAAAGAAATGGAGATAATATTTCTTTCTTGAAAAAGAACTTAAATAACACTCACATTATGACTCGAACGAAAGTATGCATAAAGGAAAGTCTTTATTATGTATTTTTATGGCATTACAAAAATAGATATAAAATTTATATATGTAATTTGTGTGTAACGTAAATTACACAAAAAAAACATTTCTCTTGATTGAAGAGAAATGTTATGTGACCTAGTGTTAAGGTTTTGATAACTTAAATGCATACCTAACTAAACATAAAGTAATTACCAATCTTGGTCTAATTTAAAGGGCTAAATAATTTTGTATCGATATGTTCATCAATTACAGCATAGAATTAAGATTTTTTAAAAACGATGGTCAAGGTTTCAGCTTTTAATGCATGCCTTGCGAGGCTTTAGCTATAATCCGTAGTGCCCTGTTAATTCTTACCATTCCATGTACTGCAGCTGAAAGAAACTATCCACCAGAAGCTCGAGTTTTTTGAAGCACCGCTCACGCCTCTATTAGTTGTACCCAAGCATAGCTTTGGGGGACTGAATTTAGACTTTCCTATCTGATCAAGGTAGGGGGATGTCTCCTTGTGAGTTCTCAATCCCGTGTGACAATTTCCACCCTTAGCATGGTCTCCTACACCTGCAAGTTGCATTGTTTAGAAAATTTTTGTTACCGTTGTCCATTCCTCCCGGTTTGTTTTACAGTATTTATTAAATGTTTGTCTACTTGTAATTTGTAAAACACCGCATTCAGAAAGATAAAAAAAAAAAAAAACTATTTGACAAAAGTGATTACTTACAGAGAACTGAATATTACCAAGAAACAGTATAAAAATGCGATTATTCTTAACATAATCCTGATACAACTCAAATGCCGATATCTTTAATGATTCTAAAATTTCCAATTACTTCTTTTGATTTTAAAGATCAAATTATATATATATTATGCTTTGTTGAAATACTATTTGATATTTCCTTACTCGGATGGGATTTAATGAAAAAATTCTGTGGGCGGAAAGGGGAAAAGACTTTTGCATACGATTAAAATTATTGCTATTTTTTATTACACAATATAAGTAATATAATAATAAGTACTGTCTTAAATTTGTGGAAAGGTATAAATCTTATGCACCTAAATTTTATTTTAAGTACTTATATTCACAAAGACATATACCTTCCTAATCAAATGATTAATCACTATGATCCATTTTATATCTGTAGGTACAAAAAGGCATAAATTTACATATGTAAACTTTACAGTATATTTCTCTGCACTTTGCAGTCTTATTATTTATCGGTTATAAATGCAGCAATGGTATGTGAGTGGACAGCCAGTATTACAAAATAATAAAAATTCGTTTATAGTAATAATTAATTTAAGACTAAATTATTTAAAAAATACTGTTACACACGAATATGATTAAAATTCCGAATTTTAATTTTACTTTCACTTTTTTGTTCTACTTGCTAAAGACTATAATTTATCTGAATTCAAACTTTTGGAAGAATAACAGCGCTTTCACATAGCTCTTCCAAAAAAACTTTTCTAAACATTTTCAAACATCTAACTAATTTTATCTAATCCTTACATTAAAATAACATTACATAAACTTCAAATACAGTTATCTGAATGTTATCTAAAGATAATTAGAAAGGTAAATATAAAGGTCGATTAAAGTCCTCTAAAGGTAAATCATATCATAATTAATGAGCTGCTTTAAGTGATTTATTTGACTTAACAAATAAGAAATTTATCCACTGGCCTGGCTTTAAAGTCTAATTTTTGAGTAATTGCTAAAAACGTTGAACTGTTTAATTACCGGAGAAACTTTAATTTTTCATTACGTAACTATTTTATACTGCCTTAAATGAGTAAACGTAATTGGCATCATATGAAAGAATTCATTTCCTGTTTCTTCAATACTTTGCATACTTATATATATATATATATATATATATATATATTACTTTTGTTACATATATATAAACAAGAGAGAGATCAATAGTGGGAAAACATTTAATTAAAACTATGAAAATCGTGCTAGTGCAAAGTGCTGCGACATTAGATATTAATGTGAATAGAGGCAAGCCACATGACATGAATAAGGTAAAAAAAATCAAACAACACGAAGCATAAATCTAGAAATCAATCACTGTAACATGGTGGAAATTAAAACATAAACAAAACAAGTAAGTAATGAAAGTTGACAATTGTTTGGTCTTTATCAAGAAGCAGCCAAGAGAATTAGCAGCATAAACCCATTTCTGAATTATAAATACATGAATTCCAATAAAGGAATAGTAAGCAGTTTTAACTTTTTTAAATATAAAAACTACCACAAAAGGAAAAATTAAGGAATTTTTTGAAAAGATATTTATCAAGATACAACCTGTCCTTATGCGACTTGAAGGAAAACACGTGTTACATTTAAAAACTAATAATAACTTATATAAACACATTTAGGATAAGTAAATATGTGGAAAACCTCAATTTCGAATAAAGTGAAGATTTCGTTTTAAAAACATTTTTGTTGTCTTAAAATTTTATATTGGATTTAGATTTTGCCTGCGTATAAATTGAAAAGTTAGTAACATGAAACATCAAATAGGGAGAATCTTTACAAAAATGACACATCTATCTAAGAAGAATGTCAATTCTAAAAAGCAAAACTTCTAGGATATACAAAATGTCAAAGCGTTTATAAAATGCAAGAACATTGTGATAAACCTAGAAACACCGCCTAACCAAAGTAAAACACTTATTTGTAATAATTAATTATTGAATTATTCGTCGAGCACTAATATAGAATGAAGTTTTATATATGACTTCTATGTTAATACTTGGTTGCACTCATATATGACTTGTATATCAGTGTGACCACTATTCATAAGGAATAAAATAACTCAGGGTACTTAGTCGTGTTCTAAGAAGAAATATTTTAAAGAAGTTAATATAAAAGTTACTGAGTTAAAGAAATTTAATGAAAAGAAACCACAGTGAGAAATATTCATCACATTTAAATGTATATTAAGAATTATATGAATATATGATTCAGTACATTTTCATAAAAAAATCTTTTTTTTTTTTTTTTTTTTTTTTTTTTTTTTGTATAGAATTTTTACACTTAAAGGCTACTTAAAGAATGTCATCTTTTTTCATAATAAACTTCTATGGAAACCGTTATCCTACTGAACTGCTAATTTCTTGCATGCTTGGTTTTCCTCTAAATTCTCCCTATTATCTCTCCATTCTCATGCTCGCACTAACAAGACATTTTGGTGGTTCAATTTAAAATATATAATTGTTTATACCTAATACACGAGTGATGTTACAGTTTATGTTATGGATTTTGCAAATAACTTTCCAAATAACTATTTTTGATCTTGATTTTTGGTTCATGCATTATTTTGCATTTGTAATTATATTTTATTTTTTCCAGCAGTTTTGGAAATATCGAAATAGCTATTAATAAATATAAAAATCTTTTATTTTTATAGTTTTTGATTTTTCATTTTGAATTTTAAATTGCTAAGAGCATATTAAATAATTAGATGCTTCACTATTCGCTTTACTGAAATGAAGAGCTTTGTAGAATATTTTGATATTTTGCTTTAAATTTTTTAGGTTTTTATAGCATTTTGGACTCATTTTTAAAAGAACAAAAATTATTTCATGTTAAGAAAGTGTTTAAGGGAAAAAATAAGAAATTCACATTCTTACATTCACATAATAAGTGATAAAATAAATTCAGTTTAGCATAATGCAGGGTGTATCAGTACAGCGTTAACAAACTTTCTGGAGAGATAGAGTACACCTAGACGATGTGAAATCACATAGGATTCATGGTTGGAAACGCTTTCCTGACGCGTTAGTGACGATCGAAAAAGCAAAAAAGGAAGGACACAAACAGTGACACAAAACAGGTTTTATTTTGTTTAGTACAACAGAAACCTACAAATAAGAATAAAAAAAAAACAACGATCGTCGTTAAAGAAAGTTTTCAAAATTAGGATCCCAAATCGTGATAGGCCTCACATCTCTGCATGGAAAATCTGAATCACGAATGGAAGATGCATGACGCGCGGTTCCTGCATCACGGTCCGGGTCGTAATTTCGAGCACATTCTTTCATGATGATCGTTGTCTCTTTATGTTGTTTTCTTTGTTTTTGTCGTTCTTCGAATAATAAACATGTTTTCTCACCCCGTTTGTGTTCTTTCTTTCTTGACTTTTGTGTGGTCACTACCGCGCCAGGAAAGAGTGTCCGACCATTCATTTCTACGTGATTTCCATCGTCTAGATGTACTCTATCTATCCTAAGAACTTGCCAACGCTGCACTGATACACCCTGTGTATGGACCTTATGAGAAAGACTACAAACGTAAAGTTTAATATCTAAAATTTGTTTAAAAAGGAAATGAAAAACACTTTATAGTGCCGTAAGTTAATAACTTTTTACATCCTTTTTGTAAGCGAAATAATATGTGTCAGAAATTATCTAAAATACTTATTTTATTTCTGAGAATAACTAACACTATGCAAAATCTTTGGCTTGAAAAATATTTCTGTAGAAAGAGTATCCAAAATATTAATTAAGAATACGTACAGAAGTTTTTGAAGCAAATTTAGATACATTTTATTTATAAAACAAACATTTCAACAAACATTAATCAATAATATATATTTTAACTTTTGAACATTTTTAAGAGCGTCAAAATTCATTTTATGTCATTATGAAAATTTTAACTTGATAAACAGTTGTCAAGTACGATAAAAATAATCCTAAAAAATAAATAAATAAAACTTTGTAGTAAAAAACGTGACTACGAAACTTGGGTTACATTTCCAAATATAAAGCTACATTCAAAATTTGTAGTTACTGCTCTCATTTTTAATATTTTTCATTTTACCTAATTCGTTTATCTATTTTATTTTTACAGCGAATCCGAAGAGGAGGACGAAGACGTAGGAAGGTAATAATAAAAACGGGGTTTTATGGAAACTTTTTTTTAACAATTTATCATACTCTATATTCAGTGTCAAAACGAATTGGAGGAACTGTAGTACGACCTAAGTTGATACTTTTGAACGTAATGAAAGTAATAAAGAAATGTTCTCATAATTATATTTAAACCAAAATTTAAACAAATATTTTTCTATGATATAATTGGCTTTTAAGAGAAAACATTTACACTCATGTGTGCATACATACATGTAACAGTTTTAGTGTTGAAATATATCTCAAGTTATAGTCATTCTCCTATTACTAAAGATTACTGTAATTGCAGGAAGAAGATATTATTTTTTTAAAATCAGTATAGTGCCTTTGCGGAGATATGTTGTCATGCCCATTGGTATATTCAATACTTACGATGCTCTCAATTAGGTGAAAAAATCTATGTTAATGAATATTATTAAATATACCATTACCGTAATTAATTAATTGATAGCTTAATTTTGAAAATAGTATTAGATCACTTGGTCGCTGATGGCTCTTTAACTTCTTTACATTTGAAAATCTGCAGAAAATTTAAACAGTGGCTGCTATTTCTATGGCAGTTTGAATTTAGTAAAAGTTTACATTTTACCTTATGTAAAATAAAGCAGTTTTTTGAGTTACCCAACAAGGCAACAGATCATTAAATGCCAGATTTAAGTTATATGTTATGAATTAAATTCAATATAATATTAGAATAATTATTACAAAGAAATGTATTGTTTATATTTAACATATATTTTTGATTCTTAGACGGCGTTTATTGAAAAGTCAAACAATAATTTAAGTGCCACCAACAGGAATAAAATTTTATTCTAAGGAAATTAAGCAAGTAAAATAAAACTATAATATATATATATATATATATATATATATATAAATTTAATTATATTAATATTTTATCTAGAAGAAACGAAATTACCTATTTATCAGTCAGTATGTTATATTCATCCTTTCCTTCTGAATCGTTAGCAATATCTTCTTCTCCTGAGCCACTGATATCTACTTCATTTCACGTCTACTTAATTTCAAGATCTGATTCCTCTAAACAACATTTATTTACATTACCCCATTATGTATTATTTTTGAGTCTTCAAAAGTGTGATTCTCTGATTAGTTTCCAAAAACATTGATATATATGCTGCAAATTTTAATGCCGATATTTGTAGATCTCAGTGGAAGATTGTCATTCAACACCTAGATTTCGCAATCTTTCCTCAAGTAAACCTTTCATGGTTTGTTGACTTTCCGCATAAAAACAAATTTTTGGGTCTCTTGCATAAAGCGGGGAAGAGGGAGGTACTGAAACTCTAAAGCTATGCTATTTATTGTTAACACACTCCGAAATTTGAGAAGGAAAAAACGTGAAATTTAAAATATAAGAAATGTAGTATCATTATGAAATAGAATTAACGATAATAAGTCATAGCTATGAGATTACTTTCAGTTGAAAATATTTAATAGTTGCAAGCATGTCTATTAGGGATGCTAAATTAAAATAAATATTTATATAAGTGTACACATGGATCATTTAATATATTTAATTTCATTAAAGTACGTTCCGTTTTACTGAGATATATGTTTCTTTCTTTTGCAGGAAGAAGTACGTATAATTTTTATTAATACGTTTATGCAATGAATATTACAGTTTTGAAAAACTAGAAGCATACGGGAAGTATATTTATTCTTCTGTATCCAATATGTTATTCTTTAAATTATGCTACATGAATTTTGTAATTATATTAAAGCTGAAATGAACTGCATATTTTTCGGCAAGTATACTTTCCCTTTAAACGCTACGTGATAAAAATATACTATTGATAAATTGACTATCTTACTAATTAAAGAAATTCTCGTGTCTTATCTTTATGATAGTTCTCTCAAGAAATATTTCAGACAGTAATCTTAGCACAGTATTATTTTAAACAAATAAACTAATAAAAGTGCCAATACTTGCTTTTTACAACATAGACGGAATAGTATTTAGGCGAGTCTACTGCGAAACCGAAGGGTCCGGGTTCGAATCTCGGAGAAGGCATGATTATAATGATTCGTCCCTACATTAGTGGTAATGGTGGCGCACATACTAAATTGCCTCCGCAATAAAGTGGCGACCACTTCCGACTTTAGTTGTGGCCGAGCCTAAGTCGGCTAAGTGCCTTCCAATGGAGGGGGGAAAGTTAAAAATATGTTTTTTGAAAAAAGAAAGTTTGAAATAAATTCATCTTTAAAAAACTCATTACAATATGCAATCAGACTTAATTAATCGATATTAAACTTGCACCTCTCTTTTATTACGCTCTGAGATTTGTTACGGTTATTTCTATGAAACATTGGTAAGCCCACAGATTTCGATTGATATGATTTTACTAATATGAAACCCATAATAAATATAGTATTGTTAGGGAAACTGAACTTTGTTATTTTATAACCATTTGTATTATCTTTTCATGTTATTTGCAATTTCTTTTCTTAATAAATTAAACCTTTAATTCGGCTTATCAAAACAGTGCTCTTAGTCTAAACTTATTTGATGCATACTTAAAACTTATTACAAATTTATTTAGCATTTATCTAAATATTAGTCTAAATTTGTAGAAGCTTGCTTAACCAGGACCATTTGCAGAAGCACTAACAGATTTACCTGCCAAAATAATTTTATAAAACTTCAGCGAAGAAAGTCAGTTTTGACAAATTAAAAATTCCAATTTAGCGCAATTGATATTGGTATATTGGTATCAAGACAATTGAATGCATTTTCAGAGGAATTGTTATTTTATTTAAATATTTGCTCTGATAAAACTGTTATGCTTTCATCAGAAATGGTTCGATTAAGCTATAGTTTGTTTCATGAAGATTTTCAGCAATCACAGGGTTCATTTTTTGCCTGTTACAATTTCATTAGCGTTTTGAAAAATGCTCTTTTCGTGCATTCAATACACTTAAGGCGTTTGATTACACTGTCTTCTATTTAGCATAGTTTTATTAAAGAATCATAAGTTAGAATAACTCTGAAATCTTTATTTCACAAATTAGAGAGTTTCCTTAACCCAGATAGAACACAAATAGAATACAAATCAAAATTAACAGTCTTTACAAACATTTAAATCGAAGGGTTGAAAATAAAGGACCTACAAGATGCTCATTTTTAAGTTTTTTAATATCTTCAGCCTTACCTACTAGGCAATATTATCAGGAGTATATTCCACAAAAGAAGGTAGCATGCTGAAAAGAATGCAGCACAAATACAATGTAAGTATAAAATCTTTTTAAGCTTTTTGCATCAGGACATAAGCAGAATTGTTTCTCGCAAATATATCGTTTGTTGATGCTGCCGATTTTCATTATGTGAAAGTGACACTAATTTATTCTAGCAAAAAGTATATAAAATACCATTTTTAAATAAACAACGATTTAGTTTTGTAACTTTATCAAAGTTTATTCTTTATTAGAATTATTCTAAATTGTACTTAGGAAACAAAAATTAAACCAAATAGGCCAAAGTCAATTAATGCACTTAAAAGCAGCAATTTAAATGCTGCAAAAGTACTTTAACATTATCTTAATACATGTATTGTAAAGCAGAAAAAATATAAAACTGCTACTTTTGAAACAACAGCAATGAAACATACTTTTAAGAAGATTTTATTTCCATATTTTAATTCAGATACCCATTTCGACCCTTCAATAAATTGAGAAATAGATAAATACATAGAAAAGGAAGGAAAATAATATATTACAGTTTGATACCGATCTTGGAGTAGGGAGGTATTGCTATTTGTTGACAGTTTCTTTCCCATCTGTTTTCATTATATAGAATTTTAGATGATCAGATTTTGTAATAATTGGGTTCTTATAAACTGGAAATATATAATTTTTATAATTATTCTAATTGGATTTACTAATGCTTAATGCAAAAATTTGGGCTTAATCATCGTTCTCTTAGTATCTGACAGGGGAAGTTCAGATGCAAATACGTATGGATGCTGATAATTTTAGCTGGAAAAAAAACAATGACTGATAAATTGCTTCAGCTTAATGAGAACACAATATTAATTCTGATTAACGCGTTAATAATCATGAATAATTTGGCAGTTTGCCTACTTTATTATTCTTCTGCAATTACGGTTAGCCATTTTAGTTTATAAATAAAGTTTGTACATCCAGAAGAGTAAATATCTTTTTTCATCAGAGAAAAATGAGAACCTTAGAATAGTCTTGACTGGATAGAGAAACAGAATATGCAGAGATAACTGATTTTGCTGAAAATTATAGGAAGAAATGGCAATATAGAAGACGGTTTCGATATAGATATTAAAAACTACCTAAAAGAGTTATATTCCCTTTTTTGTACATTTTACTTTATGTAGCTTTTCTCAGCTAGTATATACGAATTTTCCAATTATAGGCCTATTATTAAGCATAAATAAAATATTAAGTAAATATTTTCTTCCTCATTTATATTTAATAATATGTTTTATCGTATTTAAAAAATTATAACCAAAATATTTGCAAACAAATATCATCAATATCCATACGACTGGAGGCTGTGTAGTGGTGGCAGTTCCCAAGCCGATGCAATAGAAATCGAAGGCATTGTACTTGTGACTATCGGTTCACACTGAGTGGAAGCATGTAACTGTGAACAATATACAAACCTTTTCCAGAGGTTAGTGTCAGGCAAAGAGAAGTTACTTAAATATCGAAATTGATATACTATAGGATATTTTGATCACTAGTGTGTATCACCAGGAACAGAAAACACCTATTCTCGCTGTGTGACTTGCGTGCTGGGATGCAGCACAGGAAATAAAAATAATAAAAAACAGGAAGTTTAACAGGAAGTTAATAAAAAATAGGAAGTTTTAAGTGACGTTTCTGAAACATTTATTTATTAAGAAAGATAATAAAAATTACATTTATTTTCTTGGGAGTGATTGATGAAATTCATTTGACCTAAGTGCATTTATATATACTTCTGCCTCTTATAATCTCGAAAATTTTTAAATCTCTTGAGGCTGCAATTACCTGAGAGCACTGCGAGAAAAGCCATAAAATTGATCTGTAGAGCAAATTAGTTCTTTGACAAGGCTATAGTGTTAGTTCCTTGTGCTAATTGCTTTTTTGATTTTTCCTTTCCTCCAGGGCATCCAGTGGACAAAAAACAGCGTAAGTGCCATACATATAAGACTGAAAAACGCACAAAATTCCAATTCCTTATGCCCCTTCCTAGCCCCAATTATCACACTGCATGACACAGTGTGCCATTCATAACTCTTACCTGTAATTACCTTGACTGCACAACTCGTGTTTTGCATTTTATTTTCCTTTTAATTTTTTTGTTTTGAATGTATTTTTGCTGGTTTTTGTTGATTTGCTAAAACTTTTATGAAAACGTAACTTTTTGTTTTGTTTTTGTTTTCATTTTGCTTGTTCTCAGGTATATGCCCTAACTAAGAAAATAAAAGCGAATTTCGATTTTTTATCGCTTTGGAGTTCAAATATGTATATTACACTTTTGTTCTTAACTCTTTGCCTTCCGAAAGGGTTTTATAACTTCAGCATCAAACTTTATATTCCGCATATATAAAGCATTTGACATATTAAGTAGAAAGTGAAATGTGATATTAGGCTTTATGCAAATATATGGTGAATTTAATACAAAGAATGTTATTTATTCAGTTGGAAATATCTTCTCAAAATGCTCTTAAATTAAAAAAAGTTAAACTTTCTATTTGAAATTTAAGTTTATAAATAGGTGTTTTACGATTGATGCTAAATTTTAATATGTTTTTCTTTTTCTTCTGTTTTTATCAATAATTTTCTTTAGTGATCGAAGTTTTCAAAATACCTTGATGCTATGATACGAACCTTGAAAATTTTTTTAAAAAGTAAAAGTCGAGAAATCAATATAGATACATTCTCTATCGCATATTAGAAAACTGTATAACATAGAGAATAGAGTACTTCCCTTACCCTGATAGTTTCTGTTCTAAGCTGTACACTAAAAGTTTCTAAATAAGGTGTTGATCTATAAGAATTAAATTTTAAGAAATATGAAGCACAAGCTTAAGTATTTAATAATAAAAACGTGTTTTGAATGAAATAGGAAGTATGCTATATAAAATAGATAAAGTGTATCTAATTTTATATTATTTAATATTAAAAACAAGCTCACTGTTACTCTATTTTAAGTACGAAATTTAAAATGCATGCCGAAATTAATTCGCATGATAAAATATGCATGTTCATGCTTGCTATTTTAGTTTTTGAACTATTCTTTGTAGAATGAAGATTGAATTAGAGCTAAGTCATAATTTTATGATTATGCTAATTTTTGAATAAAATATTAGAATTACCAAGAAAATTGGCTAACAATATAACATTTGAAAAATTTTATACGCAAAATAAAATAATAATAATTTGCAGAAAAAGTAAACTATCAAGATCGTCATTTGAAGTTTTTCTTTCATTTAATTTAACTGCTGATAAACAGTAAAGAAGTTATTCATTTACTCATTTAAGGGATTAAGGCAGTAATTGTTAAAAATTGCAATCTTTCCAAAAATATTACTTATCTAAAAATATTATTTCCTCCCTATTCTGAAATGCAATACACATAAATAAAGATAAAATATTGCATTAATTTCTTTTGGTCGCGTAAAATTATATCATTCGTTTTTTAAATATATTTTGCTATAATTTTTGGCTTATGGCTTGCTTTTTTTGAATGCCAGCATTTTCTAAGCCAAGCTTTTGTACAGCAGTGAATAAAGCTTGGACATTTTCAATAAAGCTTGGACATTTTCAATAAAGCTTGGACATTTTCAATAAAGCTTGGACATTTTCAATAATCATCATTTACTTGGGCTCATAATTTTAATGATAAATTGGAATATATTTACACAAATTTATTCATCGAAATATATAAGTTTTCCAGCTTCTCATAGTAAAATATGAGAGCAGAACTAAATTCAAAAGAGGACAGAAAGTCGACATTTCGTAACGTGTAAATTTCCATACATTTATAATAATAATAAGAGTATATTTTATGATCTTAACATATATTTGTTTTTGAAAATAAATTTTTCTTGGAGCTTTACAGAATTGTTAATTCTCTTCCAGTCGCGAAGAATCTCAACCGAAAATGACTGAGGCCGAAATTGCAATGGAGGTAAGAAAACATAATTTTTAATTCTATACGTAGTGCATATAATTTATATAAAAGGAAAAAGATATAATAAAATGCGAATTTTTGATTAATTTATTAACTTTATGCTCACAAAGTTTTATTAACCTTTCTAAGAATAATATTCATAACATAGTAAATCAATAGAAGATCATTTAAAATTTTATTTTATTACATGCAGCAGATTGTGTTACATATAATCAATATATTATGAAATTAACATATGATTATAAATGCAAATCACAACTAGTGATTAATTTACCTGATTTCATGGCAAAACATGTATTAATCCTTCTGATAGATCTAGTTTTACTATTTAAAATCGCAGAGTATAGAACGGGACGCATAGTGTATTTTTTAAGAATAGAAATATTGATTGGTTTTTATTTCAATATAAGAGATTTTCGCATAGTTTAAAGAGCATTAGTTTTTGTTATGTATTTATTGAAGGGAAAAATATATATTATTGAAAATATAATTTATAAGCACAATCTGTATGATTTAATAGGAGAAGCTGAGGAAGAAGAAGGAAGAAGATGAAGCCATGTGGCAAGAATACATCGAGCAATGGAGAAAACAAAGAGCAAAGGAAGAAGAAGAGCTGCGAAAGCTCAAAGAACGCCAGGTGAATAAATGTTCACTTCATCTTAAATTCACATTCGATTTTTTTTTATCAAAATTTGTATCAAGCATTTAAGCTAGCAAGCTGTTAAACATTAAAAGTATAAAGAATAAAAATTGCATAAAACATGGTAAAAATAAATAAGTAAGCAATGTTTTGTGAGTAAACAATTTGCTTTCCGTATTTGTCCATTTTTAAGACAAATATTCAATAATTGTAGCATCTTCAATTCAGAATGCTTTTTTCCTTCACAATAAAAGAATAAACCTGGAAAGTGGAACTTGTGTGATATTTTATAGTACTGTTTATTTAAGCGGCTTAGAAGTAGTTGAACCATTTTATAATGTAAGACATATTTTTTTAGACTCCAAGATATTTTAATTCTGCAAAAGGGCTATAAGAATTAGACTGTCTGGTATGGTTTACAATTAGCATACATTTATATAAACCTTAACTACAAATGCTTATTCAAGGATATCTTGAGCAGTTTTGTTACTTAAAATTAATTCTTATGATTTAAAAAAATATTTTCAAGAATCATAATCTGATTTTTAAAGATCAAATATTTTCTATAACACACTGGTAATTTTACTGCTTGCATAACATTTGAATCACATTAAATAAAAACAAATTTCGAAAAGCTTGTAAAAGGATGTGATGCTATTTTGCCATGTTAATATAATCTCTAAGGAGCTGTTGTCCTTCATTATGTAAATGTAAACTATAGTGGTAATCGTTAGTACTGATTTTCAAAGTCTGAACACGTTTTGGAGCACAATTTATAGAAATCTGTCTTGTTTTAGGCGAGACGAAAAGTGACCAGAGCCGAACAAGAAAAACGAATGATGGAATTGAAGAGGAAGCAAGAAGAAGCTAGGCAACGAGAAATAGTAAGATTATTTCTATAGAAACATAATTGTTATCAAATTTTAAGCAAATATTTTTCTTTAAACATCAACTAAGAAGTTTGGTCATTAAAATAATACACATAAATTAATATTTCATATACTGTATATATATATATAGTTCATATACATATATTATATATAGCTTACATATACGTACATTATATAAAACTTACATATACATAATATCAAATACTATATATGTAGCTATTTATATAGCTTATATATAATTTTTGAATTTTTCTTGTAAAGAATTTGTTTCTTTTAGTGGACTATTTTTTTGGAAGTCTGAAAATGTTTAGAAAATATTTAGTTGTTAAATCTAATGAACAACTAAATCTATAAAGATTAAAGAAAATATTTAGTTGTTAAAAATTAATCCCAAATTAAATTTTGAACACAGCTTACATTTGCTAAAAGGATTTATGAAATGTAATCTTCATTTTTAAACACTCTTTCATCCGTAGCTAATTTTTTCCATAAGGTACTTATTTTTTATAGACCGACTCATATCTATTTTTTCAATTCGTTACTTTTGTTTTATGGAACATCACTAGAGTTTAAAGTGCACTTGAAGCCCTACAGCGGCTGGGCGGTAAAATTGCTGAACATTGGTAATGCCGACCGGCGTTTGAGTCCAGGAAACGGGCTGGCTGCATGTGCATTTTCGTGGTTTTCCTCATGTGTATGTGTACACGAGCCGGTTTTTCTTAGAACTTCCTCTACGAAGGAAACCCTCGCCTTAGGCAGATAGCCCTGGTGTGTTTGCCGTAATCTACCAAACGATAAAATGCAATTCATTTAAAAACATTCCAAATAAATAGAGTTTTAGAAAAATTATATTTTGTGGAGAACATTTCAAAATGTATAATTTATTGAAACTAACATTCCGTAAGTTCAGTGGTTTCGTGAACAAGAATGAATATCGCAAAACTTGAATGAAGACATAAATATATAATAATTTAAAAACGCCGGCGTGTATGTGTTAGATATGAAAATTTGAACATTTTTCTAATGCTATTAAATTTGATTTTGATACAGGAAGAAAAGAAAGCCAGAGAGGCGGAGGCTAAACGAAAACGTTTAGAAGAAGCTGAAAAGAAAAGGCAAGCCATGTTGGAGGAGCAGAGGAAATTGAAGGAGGGCGTTAAGCCTAACTTTGTCATTCAAAAGAAAGAAGGTGGAGTTGCTCCTGTAACCGCTGGTCATCCTGCCGGTTTTGATAAGGTAATATTATTTTAGAAACAATTAAAAATTGAACATACGTCAGTTAATTGTTAAAAAAGAAATATAATTTTTTTAATTGTTAATAAAATTAAGTAAAAAAGTAATTGACTTTCAATGTAAAAATATTTAGTCATTTTTTTCAAAAATTAAGATTTGGCAAAAAATTAATTCTTTAATATTTATTTTTAATTATGTCTCAATTTCTCTTGAACTAACCTCTTACCTTTGGTCTCCGAAAAAAATGTCCTCGAGCATTACCAATCCTGCGCGCGGTAGCGGGCCTGACATGCCCGGTGCCTGGCCTGCCACTATTTATTTTAATTGTATTTTAAAGTTTACAATGTGAGTAAATCTTACAAATTAATATCAGACGAAACACAATAACTGATATACATAATGAAACTGAAAATTTAACTGTAATAAATGATATGGAATTTATCCTAAAAATTTACAATAAATAATATGCATGTTAGCACTTAAGTGCGAAAGTCTTTAATGTGCACATTACCTAGTTAATCTGCAGATTTTTCTCCGTTAAAATGCGAAATCAAGAGTTTTCCGTATTTTAAGTAGGTAAAGTACACATTAATGACTTCCCTATCGTTAAAGTTCAAAAGTTTGTTTCTCTCATTTCCTATCCCTCTCCGTCCATTATGCACATTACCTACTAAGCACTCGCTAATCTGCACTCTGCCTATTAGACGTTCGTTAAATTGAAAATAATATCTTTGCTGGAAGAACATTAACGTTTCTGTACGCTTAAATTAACACAATGGTATTTATTTGTTTTTCGATAACTAAACAATCAAGTTAATGCAATCAACAAATTAGTTGATAGAATCATCAATCAATTAACAAAACTATAATACAAAGAAAAAACGGTTTAAAATATTATTACAATTAAGAAAATGAATTTGCAAAACATACGATAAAATTAGGATCACTTATTAGGGCAATTTAAAAATTGGGGACACTTTGAATTACATGGCAATTGGATTTTGCGACAAGCATACCTATTTGCGGTACATTTACATCTGCAGTAACATTTTTGGAAACCCTGGCCCGATCAACAATTTAAAAGTATAAGTGGTGGCTGTTTTAAGCGTACAGAAATGTTGCTGTTGTTCCAGCAAAGATCTTATTTTCACTTTACTAAGGGCCTAGTACAGCAGATTATCTAAGTAATTTGAGGAATGAAGCAATTTTTCGCACTTTAACGGATCACCCTAGTTAATATGCAGATTAGCTAGATAATCTTCCGAATAATCTGCCTTGGATGGGGAGATTTAATTTTTTTCCATACATGTTTTTACCACCATGAGCAGTGAAAAACTTTAATTTTTTCTACCAAAGATTGTTTTTCGGAAAAGTATTTTCAGCTTCTTTAAAATTATCTTTTCCAGCGGTCGTGCTATGAATGAACGTCAAGAGGCTTCCGTACACTTCATAATTTTTACCTATCCCTTGAATAAAAAGTAACACCTGAGCAGTATCTGAAACATTTGGTGATTCATCCATGGCCAAAGAGAACCACTCTAAACCTCGATTTCTGCTAGACAATTGAGTTAATTCGTTTTCTGCAATACTATCTACTCTTCGAGCCATAGTGTTTGCTGACAAACTGAGGATTTTAAATAAATTGTTCTTTTCTGGACACATTTCTTCTTCTGCTGAAATCATGCAACCCTTTATTAATGCGCCGCTAGTAAATGGTTTCTCATGTTTCACTTCTGAATGAACCATTCGGAAAACAGCACGAGTTGCTGAATCGAGTTGTATACATCAATTGCTGAGATTTCCCCCGGAATTAAAAAAAAAACTGATATTTTTCTAACCGTAGGCTATCTATTAATTTGTAGTAAATCTGAGCATGTTTAGTCTCATAATATTATTATATTGTATTCTTTGAGGACTAATATTGTTTCATTGCGAATTATACACATTGCTTTCTTACTTGTTTCAGTCAACAAATACTGATATTCCCAAAGCTCTTTAAATGTTCTGCACTCACTATCTTTCATTTTTTTCATATTTATAAAAATACACATCAAAGGCACGTAGCTTCAAATAAAATAATGCATTTTTTGCACTGAAATCAAAATGTGTAACTGTCCTTCTCTCGGTTGTCTCCCGTAGCTATACCACGTGTCCTTGGGACATATTCGAAAACTTTCAGTAGTAATATAATCTTCCAAACAAGAGAACGCGCAGCCGCAGTGACATATCCGTTAAGTACCAACCAAAAATGCGAACGAGCTGAGTCCATTATCGCGTCAGATATATTTCGTTCAATGGCTAGTTTCGAATGAAAATTTTCACGCAATTCAAAACTACAGTACGCTGATATGATGAATTGGCTAGCAGAGGCGCCATTTCATACTTTTCCAAAAGAGAGCGAAAGAGTCAAATTGCCTTACCAAGCGGGAGATAAAATCAAAGTACGAGTACCTTATCAGAGACCGTATTCCTTCTCGCTTCCTTTCGTATATAAGTAGTTATCAAATCCAGTTAGCAAATTAGATCCATGGTTCGAATCTCGATGAGGTTATACTTGATTTCTTACGTTTTCTTGGTCTGAAAAAAATATAAAAATATCTCTCATGATATACTGATATTCAGCATGAGGAAGAACAGCGGCAATTCTTCGTAATACAAAGAATTTTATTGATATCTGTTTATTTATCAATTTTATTATTAAATTAATGTGACCATAAAGTTTGTCTAATTTTAATGTAACATAAGTCTCATCACTAAGATATTTTTTTTGACAGAAAAGTCTTATGCAGTTTAACTAGATATTGCAATCATGTTTTATTATTTCAGATGAGCCACATCGAGCAAGCCCGCAGCGAGATGGGAAAATCAAAGGAACAACTGGCCGAGGACAAACAAATTGCTTTGACCTACCGTGTCAAGCCTCTCAATATTGAGGGTCTGGGTACCGAGAAGTTGAGGGCGACGGCTGAAGAACTCTGGGCCAAGATCGTACAATTAGAGAGCGAGAAGTACGATTTAGAAGATAAAATGAAAAGACAAGATTACGATGTAAGCCCACATTTGAAATATTTTAGAATTACTCGCATAATCAAATATTTTATTATAGTATTTTTTTAATTGACTTTATCATAAAAAATTTTCAACAAACTTTTATATTTAAATATATTGGCATAATAAGAATTTATCTGGCAATTTTTAAAATGTAATTAAAGAGGTAGCACTAGATCATGAATACAATTTAATTAAATAATCTAATAAAATTAATTTTCCACATCACCATCTAGTATTTTCGCATTCATTTAAATATGCGGTTTCGTATGAATATATTAATAATGATATTATTAATATTTTATGTAACTATACATTACAAAAAAATTCATGAGGATAGGTATTGTTTCATCTGTTAATAGTATTATTTTATTCTTACTTGCAGTATTCTGGTAATAGAATGCTGTTGCTATATCTGTTAAAACCTGAGTTAAAAAAACATCATAATATATGCGCTGCGAAAAGGTAGTTAACTTGAATTAGCTGAACATGAATTTAGTTTTATTCACATATACACTTTCGCTTCTAATTGTTAGGAAGTTGGTGTAATTTTGCTTTCATTAAATTAATTTTTATGTCTCCAATAGTTCAACCATAATTTTGTTAATAAATCTCTTTTTTATAATGAATAGCTTTTTATTTATATGAAGGCCCTGTAGTAGGTCACCGATTCAGTTTGACTGACAGCAAAGATTTTTTAATAACTTTAATAATTGGCAAGTAAATAACCGAAACATTTACTGCGAATTATTTGCTTCTTAAGAAAAGTTCACACTGTTTCTCAAAATGCTATGAGACTTCATATTGGAACCTAACGCCAAAACGTGCAAGTCAGCGGGCATCTTTTGCATGTGTAGTGGTTTTTCAGATAATTCATATCTTCACAGTTATTTATAAGCATACATTTTTACATGCACTTTTTTAATCGCTGCACAGTAATTTGTTAAACTTTTGTTGTAATCAATGGATTGCAATTCGATATAATAATCAGACTTCGTAGTGCTTATTTCTTATAATTTTCTTATTTTTAAAAAATATGTGTGACAATTTTCAATTCTTCAGTCTTTTCTCAGTTCTTTTAGTCTTTTCTCAGTTCATCATATCAATGTTCAGTAGATTTTTTTTATTAAGATGGCTTAACAAATCTCTTATTGCCTTTTTATTATTAACGTTTTGTCTGTTAACTTTATTTATTAATTACCACCTTCTTGGCACTTACGCCACATAAATTCAATTCAACAGCAGAATCAAAAAATATTTAAAAACAGCATATCTTTAGAATTTCCGATAGAGAATCTTGCGCGCTGGAGATAACAGTGTTTCATTCGTACAGTGTTGTCACTGCTGTCTTTCAAATCGTTGAGTTTGTAAATCGAAAATTCATTAAAGTTTTAAAAAATGTGAAATAGATAACAAAAGAAAATTAAAATTCGGACTTCCAGGTACCCATATTCGGTTGGAGGACTACGTTAGTCAAAGTTTAGATGGCTCCATCTACCGTTGTTTTTTCACAATGCGAGAAACATGCATACATTCATGCACATTCTTCATTTTTTAATTTCTTTAAATATAATACAGGGCGATAATACTTGGTGGTAACAATTTGAAAAGTGATACGCCCTTTATGGTGATTGAACGCAAGATGCCGTTTTGAGACTAATATTCGATTCGGGACTAACGTCCCTTTTGGGCTAAAACGAATACTAAATCTGCTGTTCGAGCTGTTATTGCGCTTCGATTCAAATTTCATATCCAATTAGTTTCCTCTGAATTTTTTCACAACTCCTCGAAACCATCTGTTATCCTTCAAATACTTTCACTACAATTTCCAATACATGTAGTATAGATTACCTGATACCTTATTGGTAAAACTACTTGTTTCTTGATTCTGTTTTTTCTGTATCAGGTGATATTAAAAGTTTTTTTGCGGCAACGAAAGAATGAGTTTAAAGTGTTAATGTTTGGAACTAAGTAATAAAATGTTTAAAGCGAAGATCGTGATAGCAGAACTTATTTTATCCGAGTTAATGGGGGGTATAGTCATTTCGATTAATACTCGTTATTTTTTTTTCTGATGACCCGTGGTGAGACTAATTAAAAAAAAAAAAAGTGGAAAATGTTCTCTTTTGGGTACAAAAGTTTTGTGCTGTAACGTTATGTTTGTACTCGTCTTTATATATACACCTTCAGAATTTTACAGTTACTGTTTTCAAGCTAGTAATCTAATCCAAGCTAATATAATTCAAGCTAATAATCCCATGCTTATTCCATTCAGTTAAGGGAATTGCAAGAGAGGCAGAAACAAATCAACAGACAGAAAGCTTTGAAGAAAGGCATAGATCCTGCGTAAGTAATTCTCTTATTTCTGGATTTATTTAAACACTCATTATTTCATGCTAAAAATATCGCTGTATAAAAATAAAAAGTATAATGATTATTATTAAAATGTGTCATTTTTCCAATTTATATGCTATATGGAACTTTTTAATTTTAATTTTAGAAGTAATAATGAATTAAAATTGGAGACAGTTTATTTGACCTTACGTGTGTAAAAAATGCTTTTTATTATTTTACAGAGAAGCAGAAGGAAAATATCCGGTAAGCCTGATTATAATTCTGTACATTGTTGCTCAAGTTTAAGGTTTGCTATTGTAATCTGCTCTTTAAATTGTTGATAATATTATTTATTATTTTAAACTTTCTGAAGAATGACCTAATTTATAAATTTTTTAGAGTGATTTTTATTTCACGCATTTAGTCTTTTCTAATAATCATAAAGGGGTAATTAAGTTAATTTTTGAAAGGAGAAAAGTATAATCAAACGTTGTGTAAACGGCGCTGTCAAGGACTTGGAGAAACGTTTCCTTATAAACTAGGTTACCTAATAGATGGAAAAAGACATAAAAATGTGTAAGTTGTTTTCTAACACGGAAAATTAAACTAATATTTTAAATAAAAGAAATACTGATATTTAATTTAAAATTTTAAATATTCAGCAACAATTTAACACAGTCAGTATTCTTAATTGAAACAGTGACATTCCATTTAAAAACTACTTCTGTGTTTTTTGTTATGTATAACACGACATAAAAATATGAATTAAATCAGACTGAAACCATTATTCCAAGGAATAAGTAATCCATGTTTGGGTTTTCTTTCGAATTCAAAAACAAGTCGTTTTAAATTATCAAAAATTTTGAAATATGTTCAAGTAGTATCCGATATTTTCTTTAAAATTCTTACTAAGATATAATGTGTCAGCTTTAAATAGCTTCGCTTTTTGATTGGGATTATTTTTTCCAGTTATCATTGAAACTTCTTCATGTACTATCCAGTCTACGATATAATGCTGCACGAATTAAGTAATCATAATAATTGTTAATAACGTAACTGAATTATTATGTCGATATCGATATAATAATATAATTATATCGATAATTTAATCACATAATAATATCATATTTAATTATATTGATATAATAATTTAAATATGTTGATTTAATTATATTAATAAATATATTATAACGATAATTTAATTACATCAATAATAAGATATCGATTCTTGATATATTATTATATTCATAATGATTATTAATGTAATTAATTAAATTATGTAATTATTAATAATGCTTTGACAAATCAAAGCGTTATTATCTAAACCAACGTATTTTCAATGTGAAAACCTTGCTTTCAAAGATGTTAAGCCAGTTCAGAAAGAGAGTGTCGTTGCCTCTCCTCTTCGTTGAAGAGTTTGCAGGGTTCTGCTGCATCTAGAAGCTTGTGTCACGATCTTACAGACCCTACTAGACTGATAGCTAATCATGTGTCTGAAACAATCACAAAGTAGGAAGAAGGCTAAAGTAACTTTATTATTTAAGCTTAAATTAAACAGAACAAGAACAGCTTGTGCTACAAACGAACTTTCGCTGCCTTGCGGGTATTTAAATTAACAAAAAAGAAAGTTAAATATAGATAATGTTGTCGGAAGCTGCATAAAACAGATTACATAAGCTGGCTCCGATATTTGCATCGCGTATTTTCAAACGTTGACTAGCAAGTCGATAAAGGTAGAATGCCAATTAAAGTATAATTGGCGAGAGAAAGTAAGAGCAAAGACGCGGTTGCCAGAAGCTCCAATCTAAAGGTTCAAAATCATCAGCTTAAATACACAAAAACAACGAATTTGCATTCTGGTGAGGAATACGGAAACGAGAAGTTATAGTAAAGGTTTTAAATCGAAATAACTAGATTTGTAAACAAAAATACCTTGTCTTTTTAGAATTTATCGATGTCTGGAAACTGTAGTAATCCATAATACCATTGTCAGAATTCGAACTCCGGACTTCTAGAATACGCGTCAAGCGTACGCGACAAAGGCACATAGAAAGTAGGGATAAAACACCTTACAACCTTAACAATTTGATAAATGTATATTGGAGTTGATGACATTATTCATTTCCTATAAATTACTTAATTAATTTCTTTCAAAAATCCAGATTCTTAGACCAATATTACCTTCATCGCCTTTGTACTGTGAGCGAAGGGAAGAGGTGAAAAAATTTACACAAAGAGCATTAGTTAAACCATTAGTATAACAACGCTTTCAATAGCAGAAATATTCCCTGAGCTGAAACGTTTAAAAATATTACCTTAAACACAATGACTTATTAAGGAATCCTAGAATTTCAAATACTGGGTATATAAACTTTAAAATGGGACATATTCACCTGGAATTTAAAAACATGATTTTATAACCTGGATCATCTTACATCCGTGTGACATAACTTTATGTAATAAAATTTAAGTATTGGTTACTATGTATACTTAAAATCAAATTAAATCTTAGTTTATCATCTATGGACATCAAGAACTTGAAAATATGTCATCATGTCGTAGAAAAAATCAGGTTTTTAGAATAGGAACAAATATATTAAACAATAAACAAGGGAATATGTAGTAGGGCAAGTATTCTAAACCAATCTTTAACATATGAAAAAATTAAGAGGATACGTTCAGGTGAAAAATCAAAATTTGATGAATCAAATAAAAGCAATGATTGAAATTAACGTTCCCATAGTATCTTCTTTGGGGGCGGCTCTGTAAGGACAAATCAATTATGACCTTATTATGAGCCACTGAAGTTTGAAATTTATTTAAAAATTTGATATATGATATTGGCAACAAATAGTTTTTTTTCTGTTACACACCTTAGGTGTCAAGAAATGTTGGCAAAATGGCTAAATAACACGAACACTGGATAGGCAATACCCAAAGCAATAAAAATAACGAAAAATTCAAAACATGGCACATGATCGTAATGTTCAGAAATGATAGTTAAATACATATATATTGTTTAAAAATGTGTTTAATGATTTTGAAATGTTTCGTTTGTTAAGATTAACAAGTGGTGAAGTTTACACTATTGCAGTCATGAGTTAATATTTTAGATTTAATTATATAAATGGCATTGAATTTATTATTGAAATTTATTTGATTTAAAAATATTATTTTATCATTTTATAGTGCATTTAATAGAAAAAGTTAATAATTTTATACAGAAAAGTAAACGCTTATCGGGTGTTTATTTTTTGTAATAAAAACAAAAATCTGTTATAATTTTGTTAATGCATTTATTATAAAATTGCACTATTCTTTAAATTATGTTTATAAAGGTATTCCTCAGCAGAATATCTAATGAAACTGGATACATATTTTAAGAAATAGGGAAAGAGATTCAGTTGTTACAATATCTCCCTGTAATATTTAGATATTTCTTTATTTTGTTTGTCTTTACTGTGAAACTGGATAATATCCTATGATTCTGTCCCAAGATATCCATTTATTTATTCCTCACTATATCGAATGCCGCTTCATCCAAAAAAATCTTTCCAGAAGTAAAATAAAATCAAATAGTTTAGTAGCTGAACAATTAATTACGAATAATTATTCTCTTTAAATTCTTGTGCTTGTAGAAAATTAGAAAACATTTAACACAATTTTTGATGTGAATAAACATACAGAGGTGAATGAGTTTTGATTATAAATTGATAATAAAATATGATCAAACTTTTCAGAATCTCATAGATAGGTAACACTATGTAATGCGCTTTAATATTTATGCTACGTAATGTTCATTAATATACAATGTAGGATGAATATTATTTCACGTAAAGTACAATCACAGGAAAAGATTATGAATTATTTCCTGAAAATAGTTTTCATATTTATCATACTTGGTCGTAGATTAATTGTTTTTATTTTGGCACAAATAATACTTTATTTTATTTTGGCACAAATAATACTTTATTTTATTTTGGCACAATCAATACTACTTCAATTTTTAGGCATCTTTAAAGAACTCATTGCAAAGAGTTATTTGATGTGCATCTGCTAGATATTGTATGATTAAGGAATTAACTGAATAGCGTCTATTTAGTAGTTCTAAAATAGCTTTGATTGCTGATATGAATTATTAAGCACATAAAAATATTTGGAACCATTCTATTAAGGAATTTAATGCTATGTTTTAAAAACTAGCAGTTTTACACCTTTTAAGTTTTCCCCAATTTTCTATTACTTCCCTATATTATATTCCCTTTTTCCCTCCATCTTCCCTCAAAGCCGAAGATATCTGTTGCCAGCAAATATGAGCGACGTCTGGACAGACGGACATTCACAGATAAGAAGTCGTGGTTTGAGGACGTAAGTTTTTGATCGATTTGTGCCAAGTATGACCATGATTGTAGACAACAGTAATCTTAAATATGTTGGTCGAATAGTATACACAAGGTAATATCAAAGAAAAGAAAGTTCATATTATTTTCAAATTTTTCGATCTTTTTCAATTGCGTTATTATTTTCCCCCCAGTGCGAGGATTTCCTTTTATAATATATTTACATAAGTAGCTCAGTTTTTGTTTCGGTTTTTAAAATGAATTTCACGGGATTTTTCAAAAGAATTAAATGTGTATATTCAAAATAAATTGCTGTCAATTGTTATTCTAAATATTTCAATTTTAAGCTTGTTAAATGTCGATTACTGTTGCTCGAATTTCATGATCATACTTTTTATTTATTTTACGTGTTGTATAATATATTTCTCATTGTCTTACTTAGCCAAAAATTCACGTTGCTAGCAAGTTTGAACGACGTGTTGACAGGAGGACATATGTTGACAAGAAAGCTCTGTTCGATGGTGTATGTATTTCAAATAGAATGTGCTTGTAGTAGCCACCTTTGCGATCCTATTTATTCCTTAGAAAAAGCCTGTATGTGCCCATAGTGTGCAAAATCGGAAGTATTGTAACCCATGTTAATATCCAACCAATAGGTTTCCAACATATTCGTCCTTAGAACAATAACATAGAACTTGTATTGTTTTATATGCTTTTTGTTGTACATATATGTCTCCCTGCAAAGTTTCTCAATATTATAGCAAATATAGAAGAAAAATTGTTTTTAAAACTATAATGATATAGTTTTTCGAAAAATCAAATTTTATTACTTTATAGGAAAAATATTTTAGAAATGAGATTAAAATGATTCTGCGTTTAAATGTTAAAAAACTATAATGGCGATGAAAAAATATATCAAATTAACAACTGTTAACAAAACATTTATTAAACGTATTAGAAGAAATGCTGCATTCTGCAATTGTATATACTTTAATATTAAAAAATGAAAGGACTTTTGTTACCAATAATATAGATAATGAATATTTGTACTAAAAAGATAATATAGATGTTAAAAAATATATATGAATCCCATAAAATTTTAAAATTCTCTATCGAAATTTATTTTCCTAGATTCTTTTTTCAAAATACATCTTCCATTTTTATTCAGTGTATTTACTCTATGAACATCAAAAGTTAAGGTATTTAATATTTTAAAATAATATTTAAATATTTAACTTGAAAATTGAAAATAATCTTATTTAAAAAGTTAAGAAGTTAAAATATTTAGTATGCAAAAAATTATTTCTGTTTAATATGATTATTTTGCTAACGTAGCAACAGATGCAAGATCATTAAATTCAGTTATAGTGAAAAGTATAAGAAAAATGACGCATATGAAAGTTTAAGATAAATAAATGATTTTTTAACGAGAAACTTTGCATGTTTTGTGTTATGCGTTTAATTGTAGATATGTATAATTTGCCCTGTAGAATGCTTAGCCAAACCTTGTTTTCGTTAATTGTTCAAACTAAACACAACGCATTTTTGCAGTGTTTCTCGAAAAGATTACAGAAGTTTCAAATATTTTACAAATCAAGAATCGAATAGGAAGGATTTTTGTAGCAGATGTTTTTGCAAGACAAGAGGATGTAAAATGGCGAATTATTTGATCAAGAAGTACTTGTGACTAAAACTTAGAAAATGTTTTTTGAACAGAGTTTTTTTGTTCAAGAATTTACTATACTATTATGAGTGTTTGATTGTTAAATGAGAAAAATCATGTATATATTTTTGAATTTTTAAGTTAAAGGCATTTTTGAAAAGAATTTTTGAAATTGAGTTTGAATTGGATTTTTTGATGTGTTTTTGAATTAACTGTTTTTAACTTCATTATATTTTAAGAAATATTTTTAAATTTTTGAAGCATTACCTCCAGGTAAAGATTTTTGAAAATTTTATTTGCGTGTTTTGTTTTTGAAAAGTGTTTTTTAGGTGAAGAATTTTTTACAAATTTAGCTTTTTGAAAAAAACAATATTTTTGAATTTTTCCTTTAGAATTTTATTTCAATAAATCAAAATTTTTGAGAATCTTATCCTTTTTGATTCATCTTTCCTAAATGCATGCATCCTTTATAATAAACAGATCATTTAATTAAAATTTTTGCTATTTTGTTAAATTTTTGCTATTTTGATACTTGCATGTTTATTTATTAATCTGCATGAAATTAAAATTCATATTTTAAAATAATATTTCATTATTTTAGACTTTTTATACTTCAAAATATACATTATCACTGATTTGAATATTAATTTTGAATAGAAATATCAATTAAATAACAGTTATTAAAATTATATAAATTTTTAAAAAGAAGATTATCAGTGTTTTGACTGAACAATTCAAAAAGTGTTTTAATTTCTGATTGAAATTTTTATTTTAAATAGGAGGCTTAAATAATTAAAAAATATTAAAATATTCAACTTGAAAAATTAAAATAATTAACATAACAATATAATTAAACGTGGAACGTTATTTAAAAATTTAGCTTGAATATGACTATACTTATCGCGTTTGATTAAAGTTTAAAATTTTATAACGTAACTTTCTCAAAACATTGAAATTCGGACTTAATTATAAATTTTATTAACGTAATTCTAGACATTATCTGCTAAACGCATTTGCGTACTTCTTTTATTAACACCGAATAATGATTTTTTTTCGTGTACTGCAAAACCTTTCTGAAGCTGTTTCTTCAAATTGTAGCTCAAGCGGAAACAAATTTCACTTCATTTCTTTTGCGTAATTCATTGTAGGGAGGAAAACGTGAATTTAAAGCAATTTCGTCGTTATACGAGGGCTAGGTTCGGAAAATTAATTTAAATTATCTATAAGCAAGGCTTGAAAATGGTTTATATTTGTTGCGTCTTGTTTATATATTTTCAATCACACCTTTAATATGCGACTTGTAAAATGTTCCTCGAGTAGATTAAAAATACTCGTTTTTACAAATCGATTTAAAATTCGATTGCTTGGTAAAGAATTTAATCGCTCGGTAAATTTTTATAGATTAATATGTGGATTATCCAATTAATTGTATACTTCCTAATTCAAACAATATGATAGTGACAACTTTTTTATTTTGCATCTTGCATCTACATAGGAAAACCTGTGTACAAATACACACATGTACGTATTCACGCTCCTAAATCAAAATCCCAGTTACATATGAATAAGTGTCTTTTAATGACAACTTAAATTTAGATTACATAAATTTGCGTGGAAGTCAAGAACCAATGAAAACTGAATATATTTAAAATGAATTTTATCATTTCTGCTTCCTTCTTCAGTTTCAATATCACTGCTTATATTAATAAATGAAAGTTTAATAGCATTTTCATGTTAAATGGTACAAAGAAAGTATGTGAAATTATATATCGTATTTTGACTCAGTTATTGAAAGGAATTTCATCAAGAGTAATGATACCTTGGATGCCGGTTAAGGTCACTTTTAATACTTTTATTGACTGAATAGGGCTTGGAACAAACGATCAAAGAACAGATGGAGAAGTCCTGGGCCGAACGAATGAATAGCTTCAAGGAGAAGGGAACTAAAAATCTTCCTAAATGGGATCCTACCGCTCCAAAAGTAAAGGAAGTTATTGAACACAGGACATACGATGATGAAGATGATATTTTGGATTTGGAGCCTCCGATGTTTGGTTTATCAGAACCAGAACCAGAGCCGACAAGGAGAGCACCATCACCACCTCCTCAACAAGAAGAAGAAGAAGAAGAGGAGGAGGAGGAGGAGGAGGAGGAAGACGAAGAGGAAGAGGAGGAGGAAGAAGAAGAAGAATAAACATAATATCTCCAAAAGCATTAAAATTTCCTGGGTAAGTAAACATTATCATTTATTATTTGCTGTAATCGTATATCATCTTCAACATAAATTACATACATTCACTCTAACATAGATTCACATATCTACTAAACTTTGGGATTTTTACTTTTGGAATAAAATTAGTATTTGCATTATTAACTATTACATATATAGAGAAAATTTTATGGGATCTTAGATTCGAGAGTTAATGCCGTAACAGGCGAGAATGACAGGTATCAATTCATAGGGTCCAGGATGGCGAGAAGCCTTTATATGAAAGTGACAAGAGAAAAAGTTTAAAATGTAATATTTTAAAAATTTAAACGCTTTTCTTTTTTTCTGAAATGTGGTGTGAAAAAGAATTCAAATTTAGTTCAAGATCGATTACTGTAGAGGAATGACTATCTGATATTCTATTATATCTGTTGAAGGTAATAGTGGTAAAAATTTTAATTATGATGATGTAATCAATGAGTTTCGCAAAACGAAAGACTAGAAATGCATTAAAATAATTGCAAGTATTCGTTTATACTTGCAATTATTCCTATTGAAAATATAGTACCTGTGAATGTTTGTATATAATTCTTATTTATTTAAAATAAAGTAAATACTATTATCTTTGTACGATATTAATAAACCATTATACACACTGCGGTTGTCTCATTTTCTTCCATGGGCAGAAATAGAAATAATAATATGCTAATATTATACACAGGGTAATAATACAGGATGGCACTACTTAAGGTTAGATAACGTGATGTAAAAGGCGTAAAGATCTTAATAGTAACTAATGCTGTTATTGAAAATGAGAAGGAAATTTTAATTATGATGAATTTCATAATCAAGATCACTCGAATTTAAAACAAGGATGGGCATTCTAATTAACAAAAACAAAGAACAATTCGTTGTTTCTGTTTAAACGTTTTGTACTTTGTTCATACTAATTTGATGAAAAACAGTGTCATATATATGAATGTTTTAAGTAGCAGATATCAATGATAATATCCAATAACTGTTTTGTATATTTTCAGAAATTCCTGGCGAATAGGAGTGATTAGCTGCCTCTTCTACAAAAAATATATGATGGCTGAAATCAAGAAATCCTGGTTATGACGAATTTAAATTTTAAAAGGACTGTGACAAAAGTCATCACGTCTATAAAAAACTACAAAAAACAGTTAAAACTCAGAAAAAATTTCTATTGAACTCTTTTCTCAGATCCATTACCATACTGAGCGGCAACAGCTCATCCATTCCTCAGAACGCGGCTCTGTATTCATTTGCTTATTTTATTCGCTGTAAAATATATCAGAAAAACAGATCATGTATTGGAAAATATAAGGAAAACTTTTGTTTCTTGTTAATTTTCGTTTTCAACCGCCAATGAGGTTACTTTTTAACAGTGCATTCGGTACCTCTCTGCGATAACTGGTTCATGTTTATGTAATTTTACTGAACCGTGCATCGTATGTGGCGTTTGTATCTGTTAAATGCATCCCCATATTTATTAAAGAATGCAATGTTTTCTTCACCTGTGCTTCGTACTTTTTTGCTGACACACATGTGCAAAAGAAAACAGCTAATTTACTAAAGCTACGTTCTTTCGGTCGCTAATTACATTACTGTAAAATCCTAAAACTGCCAAATATTAGTACTCATAGCAGATTAATTTATGTTCTCAAATATGCAAATAATTATGAAAAACCACAATTTATCAAGGTATTTTTTCAGCTTCAGAAAATTCCAGAATAGGATTTTTAAGTATCGATGAAACTAGAGACTTTCATGAGACAGCTTAAATAATCTAAACTTTAATGGGAACTCTACTAAGACAACACGCTCTTTTGACCATAGAATTGTTTCACAGTTTACGAATGACCAATATAAACGAGAAAAATTAAAGATAAATACGAAAGTAATTAATTATATACAAATACATAAATAAATGTTCATATGTTTATAAAATTCTTTCAAGAAAATATTATTGCTGAAAATGTAGGGGATGAAATGTATGGGCTGAAAATGTAAATTATTATTATAAATTAAACTATTGATGTAATAAAATGAATAACACAAATGTGCAAGGCAATGAATGAAATTTTAATATTTATTCTATATATAATGGGGCTCTCTCATTAAAATATTCTTCATATACAACACCACATGCAAACGGATCTTGAAAAAGGTATTCAACAAGGTTATAAACATCTTGAGAGGTTGTTATAAACACTCTCTCGAGATGGATGTCATGGAGAATTTAATAGCCAATATTTATACGTGAGTTTGAATATCATTTAATGGCAAAGATTTCTTTTTATGAGTTGGAAACTTCAGAAGTCAATGTTTGATTTAATTGTAAACTCTCTCATAGCAAGATCTTGGAATGTAATGTGAATTTTTGGCCTTATTAACTCTCTTTGGATTGAAGGAACTATTTGTTTTTAATCTTTCTAAGAAGGATTTTCCTTTTCGTTTATGGAGGATTACTGAGACACGTATTTTGAATTTGCTATTTGTTCAAGCTGAGCCTTTATAGTTTAAGTGCTGTTTAATTTAGTGATTTCGTTGGCCAGTTCATCACGCAAATCTTACTAAAGCATAAATTTTGCATTTCTCTGAGTTGTAGAATTTTTATGCCGGTAAATTAGAAACATTACGTTATGAAAATATTACCCACAAGTTATCACAAGATTGTCAAGTATTTCATTGTCAGCATCATAATTCCTATTGTCTATCTGCAGGAATGCGGTTAATTATGAATCATCGAAACTATCTCTCACAGTTTTACCGATTCGCCATAAGTGGTAAGAGTTATTTGAACACCCTCAGGTCTATATGAGTCTTCAGATCTCTTGCTGACACTGAGACTTACATCATTTGAATATATGGATAATTTGTATTCATCACACTGTATGGTGCCTTGAAATGAAAAATGGTTTATGTTTTATAAGATTTGGTGTAGTGTGGTTTAACTGATTATGGCAAAGCACACTAGGGCTATCTACTTAAGGGAAGGGATGCATTCATGGACGACTTTATAAGGTAAACTGGCTTCTATACATGTTACACATGGAGGAAAACATGATAATGCCCATGCAGCAGTTTGGTTTGGCTTAGTTGATTATAACAAACGCATTAGAGCTATCTATTTAAGGGAAGAGATATCTTCGTGGAGGTCTTTCTAAAGAAAACTGGCTTGTATGCATGTTAAACATGAGGAAAATCACGAAAACGCACGTGTAGCCAGCCCGTTTGCCTGGAATCGAACCCAGGTCGGAACAACCAGTGTTCAGGGATTTTACCGCTCGGCCACTGGGGGCCCTTTAAAAGATTTGTCACGGTTAGATGAGCTTTTCTCTAAGATAACATATTACTTCTACTGTAATTCTACTTTATAAATTGAATTCTACTGTAGATATCCACTTAAGGAAATTAACTACACAATGCTTGCTCAAAAATTTATCCGTGGTTTCCATTACCAGCAGATTGAAAGCTAGATTCCAATACTATTAAAAATCAAAATTGACTATGAAGAAATTCACTTGGTGTTACAATTTACCAAAATTATTTTTATTTGTAATTTTTCCTTTTATTTTCTGTCGAATTATATCAATTATATCAATTGACGTACAATTATATCAATGCACTTGCGTAAACGTGCTTTTGTTAACATTTGCGAAGTTCATCATTTCCTTAGTTCTGAATCCTGTTGTACGGCCAAAAGCTACGACACAGCCACTTTCATCTGATTTTAATTCTATTGATTTTTTTCTCATAAATTTTCAACTCCAAATTTTCCGGTAAAATGAAATAATAAGAAACGCTACTACTATATAAGGAATAAATATTTAAATAAAATTCTATTTGTAATTTTAGACATGCATCACATGAACTAGCGTTTTATAATGCTGAGGTGTTAATTTATGTTCTGTGTCTGTATATCATGTTACTGAATAGTACATGTAAAAAATATTTTATTTCTGTCTTCCTTAATATTTATGAATTAAAATTCCATTAATCGGGTAAGAACCCTTTTCTAAACATATAGAAATACTAAAATGCTCATAAAACTATTACTTTCATTTGATGTAAATCACTAGAAATACCTGTAGTTCAAATTGCTTATTTGCAATCACAAATGAATAAACAAATTAATCTGGGCAAACTGAAATAGGTAATGAAAACATCTGGAAAAGTATGTAGGAAAATACTTAATCTGTTAAGCAAGAATATGAGGAAGGTATAAAGTACATAAAACCATCTAAAATGCTCCATATTTACAAATATCACTTGTGGTAGTATTGCTTCACTTATCATTTCATTAAAACAGGAAAGAATATTTGAATAAAACTGTTCATTGCCTAAAAGGTGAAATGCAATATCGCGATCATTTCAGAAAAGGAATGTAGTTTCTTTTACGGATCTATTTTATGCATATGAATTCTTTAAGTTTTCAAGCAATATTTGGAGTAAGATAAATAATAGATAGAGAAATATTGATAAGGAATACTTTGTGAGGGAAAGTGGAGAACATTTTATTAATTTAATATGAACCACTTCACTGTCTTACAAAACTCAAATATTTTCAGCTATTTTTCTTCAAAGATAAACTTTTTGCTTTTGAAACTGGCCTTAGTTTACGATAGAAATGTTGCTTTCCACCATTCATAAGCGGCCAAAACCTATTTTAAAGCTCGCGCCAAATCAACTTGAACCGCCTACTTGTCACACTCAAACATGTTAAACAGCGTCACCCTACCCAGGAGAAAAATTCTTCTGTATTCTCTGGTTCCACATCTGAAAATTAATCAAGACGATCAGCTAAAGCACGCTTTAAAACGAGCGGTAGTTTCCATTTCGATACCAGCTGAAAGTGGGTTATAAATGCATTGTTATTTTTCGTCTTTTTAAGTAAAACTTACTTTGTATAATCCTGATGCAACCGAGTTCTGGAGAGAGCGTGACCAATTTAAGCTCCAAATCTGCTTTCCTCATTTTCACTGCATTCTAGTTGTTGGAATATACAAAGCGACACGTTCTCTCTTGAGCTAAGGATCCAGACCACATTTAACTCCGACGAATGTCTCGCTGCTGATGCCTGGCAGCACTTTTCAAATCGAATAGTCTGTCTCGGGAGAAACGGTGAAGAGATTAATAACAGAAGGATTTTAAAATGTCTGAGGAACGAATAAGAAAAAATCATAGCAAAAAATTATACAAGCACTCACTGAAAGGTTTTAAGACTACCTGTATTTATCAATATTAGCCTGACTTTATCAATATTAGGTTTTACAACTGTGTATTGAATTATGTGAAGGTTTATGCTACGAAGCATGTCGGTCTATATTTGGACAGTTAAGAGCAACAGCGAATGTAAGTATAGACTAAATTTTGTCTTGGATAAGGGAGATATAGGTTCGTGGAAATTCGAAAGCGATATAAATGAAGTTTTGGTTTACCTTGCGAAGAAACAAGATGAAACGCTTGAAATGTAAAGACATGGATTCTTAACCGTGTTTCAGTATTTCAATAGTGAAGGTATCTGAAAGTGAATAGCGTGCGAGTGACTGATAAAGACATGTTTTTATAACTTATCCTCTCTGGTTACGATGGACAACATCGTCAAGCCATTGAGATATAATTAAAAGTGACAAGTTATGCAAACATCATGAAAATGCACTTGTGTGGAGCTATGAAAAAAAAAAAAAAAAAAAAAAGACACAATTTTCTAGGTTTTTCGCCCTAGGAAAATGAACGGCCACGTGTTGTTCCCGGAGCATTGGCAGCAATATCAGAAATCGATTGGTTAGCATTAGCTTATCCATATAGCCTGGAAGTCGCACCAAATGATATATCGGTATTTCCAACATTAAACAAACCACTATGTGTAAACAGGTTCTTTTCGGATGAGGAAACGAAAAGAAGCACGACCGCAATGCTAAAGATGGTGTCATGAAACAAGGTTTTTCATGTTTCAGGTTTATGAAATGATGTAAAAGTGTAATTCACTTTGCGAATGGTTGCTTTGAGAGCAAACCCCCCCCCCTCCAAAAAAATATCGGACGCACACAATAATGTGATTCTGAGTAAAAGAGTCAGCTGTCAAAACTTTTCAATCTACTTACGTACTATTTGGTCAAGGAACTTCAGTAGCACCGAGTAATGAAAGAATTTTCATTTTAATTAAATAAAAATGATCAAATTCGTGAAATTTCTCTACGCAGTTTGGAAGAGATTAGAATAGACATGCAGAATTTTACCTTCATTTCGAAAGTACTGTACATGATGATGATTCGCCGTTAAACATATAATTTTGCAATTAGCGATTTTTAAAACTTATTTTTCAGCTATGAAGTTTTAAAAAGGTCGTTTTGTAAGGTGCGACGTATACATTATTGTTGATTTTAGTGCACTGTTAAATATTAAATCTATTCTAAAATTTAATCATTATTTTAGTGCACTGTTAAATATTAAACCTATTCTAAAATTTTCTGGTCACAATGCATTAAGAAAACAACTCGGAAAGGTTGA